TAGGCTTCCATGTCAAAGAAGGCATTCTGCCTCTCCTTGATCTGGCTGCTGATCTCCTGAAGGAGAGCAAACTCCTCAGGACTCGCTCTGGGCTTGCACCTGCAAGAGCACAGAAACAAGATATTCCTGTTCACGTTTTCACCTCCTTTTTATTTAAAGGGAAAATAATGTTGTCATAAAATCCACGCTGTTAAAAAGCTGACTGTGTGAGGTGATGCCATAGCCCACTTTGCTCCTGTATTTCTGCAGCACCATTTGGTTCACCACGACTTTATTTCACTGCCAGGTTTATGCTACAGTAAGTTACTTCAACCAGCTGGTTTATAAATCAGCTTCCCTTTTCATCAGCTCAGTGACAGGACTGTGTGCTCTTCCCTAACAGAGCACTTTGGGAATTTTGTGCTTTATTGCAGGAACTCCTTCCACCTTGGGAACTCTGTGTGTGGTTTCACACACTGCCCTTACCGAGGCTGCAGCTCTTCAGGTATGAAATACTGCAGGATGTAACAGGACACAGAGCTGATGATTTACTGGCAAACTGTGGTTTTAGCAATTAATGTAAAACAGAGAGCAATGTGCAGCAGAGCCAGCAGCCCGGGGTGTTGGAGGCGCTGTACTGAGACCTGCACACCAGGAATTCAGCTTGTGGCTCCTGGGGATCAGCCAAGCAGCCAGAGACAGCTCCCTCCTGTAGATCCACCTAGGGGTAAGTTACACCTCCAGGTTTGAGGATTGATGTTGCTCCTCCAGTTGCAGCCTATGGAGCAAAGCTTTGCTCACCTGGCAAAACCCACAGACCAAGAGCTGCAGGGACACACTGCAAGGATGAAACCCACACTGGCTCCCTCAAAATCCTTTGTTTGCAGGACTCCATCTCTCATACAGTTATTAACGTTTTACCTGGCTATAATATGGAGCAACTTCAGCACTGCAACTGTACATTAACTGTACATTAACTGCAGACTGTACATTAAAATGCTAAAAATCCAACCATTTGAGCCCTTTGGGAAGGAGAAACATCCCATCCCTGCCTCCTCCCCCCTCCAGGTCTCCCATTACCGTTGCAGGCTGTGCTTCAGATCCCTTAGTGTCTTCTTCTGCCTCTGTATGGAGCTGCTGCAGGCTGTCTGCAAGCTGGTGACTTCTTCCAGTTTCTGCCTGTAAACTTTGTGTGTTTCCTGCAGGAGAAGAGGAGACAGTTGGTAGGAAGAGCCCTTCTAGGTTACTCATGGCATTTGGTCCTCCCCTCCAAGGGAAGCAAGCAAACCCCTGGTTTTTGAGAGTCAACAGGCACCCCTGCAAACAAGCAAGGAGGGGGTGATGCCAACCAGCACAGATCCAACAGGGCTTAAATGGACACTGATGAAAGTCCTGCAAGAGGAAAAGCATCCTCTCTACACTCATCTAATTTCCTCTTTCTAATGAGCTTTCCCACTCAGGAGCTCCTCACTCCAGTCCCACCCTGCAATGAAGCCCCTAATCCTTGAATCTCCTAATCCTCCAATCTCCTAATCCTCCATTTGATCCTGATCCATCTCCATCAAATGGGTGGCTAAATCACAGAGCAGGCACTCCAATTTCACAGCCAGATTAAATCTGGAGGGAAAAAGATGATGTGGACCTAAAGGGGAGGGGAAAAAAGATACAAATTCAGGCCAGGGGGTTTAGGCACCTCCTGGCCACCGCTGCCATCCTGACCCTATGGATGTTCAAGCAACCTACTGCCCCTTACTCTGGTTTAAGAGGTCTCAGGAAGGGTTCACCAGGCACCAAGCAATGACCTCTGGGCCAACTGTAAGATCTATAATGACTTAGAAATCAGAGTTTGCAGAATTAGTGCCAAGAGACAGCATAGGTAACACGGCTGTTGGCACGGCTGCTTCATCTGCCAACACTTCAGTGACTACAGAAAATTCCCACTGCTTTTCCCAGAGCATAAACATGGTGGTAAAACCACACAAACCAAATCTTTGCTCTCCTTTGTCAGGATCCAGCTGGTAAATGTTTGTTATTTACAAAAACAAACCACAACAAGCTCCAGTATCCAATTTAAAGACCTTAATAACCAAACTAACCATGTCCAGGCACTGCAGCTCTCATCGTTTCTGGATCACTTTGGCTTTGCTTGGCATGGGCAGGACTTCAGGGCTCCCTGGATTGCAGAGCAACTCATCTTGCTTCTCTAGATGTCACGCAACAACATCTTATAAAAGGCTGATTCAAAGGGCGTAAAAAGCTCTTTGCCAAAAAAGGGTTCAGGTATTTATTGAAAACACGAATAGGCGAGTTGAGAGCTGGTAAATTTTACCCCCAGCCAAAAACATCAGGATAATGGTTTGAAAATGACACTGTTGTTTAGAAGAACATAACATTTGCTATAAGTGGGGTTATTTATTTGCCAAGAGAGACTAGTGCTTACAAGGAGACTCACTGACAGCAGGGTCCTAATCCAAATCTTGTGACATGTTCATTCTCAGGGTTTAAATTAATAAACTGTTGCAGAGCAACTTGCATTTTTTCCCACATCCCTGCCCCAAAACTGAAACACTCCACAACCCTGAGCTCTGTCTCAGAGATGAGGCGCTGCCCTGGCAACCCAAACAACGAAAATCTGCAGAAGTGGTGGTTAGAAGAGCTTTGCAAACCTGAATGTCCCCAAGCCCATCCCACGAGTCCCCACTGCCCCAGGGGGATGCTCAGTGCTGCTGTACAGCAGCACCAGCCCCTCCAAAGCCCCCCACACCCAAATACAAGTGCAGCCCCCAGGGCCCTGTGCCAGCCAGCATGGCAGGGCAGGAGCTACAACCAGAGCCCAAGATGCAGCCCCTGACCCAGAACTTACAACACAACTATAAAATACGAGATGAGGCAGGAGTGCAAAAGAAACACAGATCATTTTGCCCCATGGGGACCAGCACTGCTCCCAACACACCAAAAAATCTAAGCACCAAAATTTATTTTCCCTGCTGGCATTGCAAGGGAGACCGTTTTAGTGGGGGTGACCAGAGTACCTTGGGAAATACCCACAGAGAGCTCCTTCAAGCCATGAAGAGCAGCTCCTGCATGGTCCTGGACCAGCATTTCCAACTGGAGATGAGAGTCAGGGCAGCCAAAAAGGGTGCCAACAGGAGGAGATGCAGGCATGGAGGGGGGTCAAGCTGCTGCTGAGGAAAACAGGCTCCTCAAGAGCAAGAGATGCTGCAAGTGCATCCAGAAAGCCACGAGCAAGGGCAAGTATGAGTGGACACCCAGATGGAAGTACTTTCTTACTCTAGAGTTGGGGTTTGACTTGAAGCCAGTTCAGGAGTACAGGACCTTCCTCCAAAGCACATTTAAGCACCACCAACATCTCGTGGAGCTGGAGCAGAATCATGACCTCTCTGTTCCCCTCTTCTGCAACATGTAAGAACTCCCTGATCGTGGATGTTATTCCAACTTTTTACCTGGCCAACTACACCTCATGCCACCAGCAGCTTCCATTCCACTGAGAGGCATTTCCACTTTCCTTTCGTGGGTGGGGAAACTGAGGCAGGGACAAATTATTGACATTTTGCTGTGGTTTAGGTCAGACTCAGGTGTTTGTTGAGGACAGTCAGCACACACAGCAAACAAGTGACCAACAAAACCACACCAGCTGGTCTCTCCCAGCACCCAGCCTTTCCTTCTGCTAACAGACGTGCAACCTGAACTGACTTTTAATTAAGAAAACGAGCTAAATCTGGAAATCACACTTTTTTTCTTGTGCGCACGTTCTGTTTAACAGCCTAAAAGAGGCTAAAACAGCCTCCAGAGTGAGAACAGCCGGTGGTACTTTAAAACAGGCTTTAAGATTTAAAGCACGTGTGTAGGTGCAGCACTGATGACATGCAGGGAGAGGAAGGCTTCTGGAGGTAAAAGCATCTTGCAGAACAGCTCTTGGCCCCTGCTCTGAGGCCTCTCTGTCCCTCAGTGCACCTTTGAGAGATGGAGAACCAGCACTTGAAGCCCTTGTACCCCATCACGGGAAATCAAACTGAGCAGAGACGCTGGCAGGGCAAGCGCTGCCTCCGCTATTCTTTGTGCCGTGCCATGGGCACACGGCCACTCCAGGTCCCCCTTTTCCATCCTTGCTCCGGTAGTGGGAAGCGCGGCACCACGTCCCCTCGGTGCATCCCCAGAGGTAGCTGGGGCATTGCCATGGTTCGGTCCGGATGTCCCAGATGTGTTCGTAGTACCTGCCTGGGGTACCGGGTGTTTGTGCCCCGCACGGATGCGCATCCCCGCAGCGCTGGGCATCGCGCGGGCACCCCGCGGCCAAGCCACGACCACGCGTGGCCGCCCCGGGCGGGGCGGGGGCGACCCTGCGGGGCTGCCCCGGGGCCGGGGGTGCGGGGGGGACCCCCAGTCCCGCTCCTGCCGGGCCCCCTGCCAGCCTGGACGCGGGGGGAGAGCCGGGGCCGGCCCCGCGACAGGATGCGGAGCAGAGCCGGGGAAGGGCAGTGCGGGAGAAGCCGCAGACGCGCGGCCGGGCGAGGCATCGCGATGTCCCGCATCTCCCCGCCCGGCAGCCCTACCCCGCATCTCCCCGCCCGGGAGCCGTGCCCCGCCGCGCCCCGCTCACCTGGAGCTGCCGGAACTCCTCCTCCAGCTCCCGCCACTCTTCCCGGCCCCGCTCCAGCTGGTCCCTCATGGCGCGGGGCCGCGCGAGCTCCCCCGGCCCCCGCCGGCGCGCGCCCCCCGGCCCGCGGGCCGCGTGCGCCGCTGACGTCATCGCGCGCGGTCACGGGCGCGGCCCCGCGGCGGCGCGCGCCACCCACCGCCCCGCCCCCACCCCCGCGCACCCGCCCCAGGGGAGGGAACCGGCAGGTGAGGGATCGGCCCCGCCGAGCCGGGATCCCCCAGGCGAGGGCTTCCGTCTGGCCAGGGGTCTCCTCAGGGGGAGGCTTCCCTCAGGCCCATGCTCCCCTCAGGTGAGGGTATCCCTCAGGTGAGGGCTCTCCTCAGGTGAGGGCTCTCCTCAGGTGAGGGCTCCCCTCAGCTGAGTGACCCCTCAAGGGAGGGATCCCCTCAATGAGGGACTCCTTAGGTGAGGGTCCCCCTCAGGCCCGTGCTCCCCTCAGGTGAGGGCTCCCCTCAGTTGCTGCCACCTGTCGCCTCCCCCCCCCCGCCCCCCCCGGTCACCTCCTGGGGACGCTGTGCCTCTCCCAGATCCTCTCATGTTGTGGTAGCACCTGAAGTGCTCCATGAAGCATCTTCCTTCCCCTTAGGGGTGGGTTGTCACACATGGGGCTGAGAATGGAGACAAAACCCTTCCTGCACAGGGACAGCCCTCTCTGAAGGAGCTGCTGGCTGAGGTGACCGTGCACCTGGGCTGAGGCCGCCCAGCCCTGCAGCTGCCTGAGGCCTGGACTTGGGTCCTTAATATCAGAGAAAAGGGCAAGAATACTTGTGATCTCTTTATTATTACAATAATAATCCACTTAGGGGCTGGGCTGGCCAACTGGGAGCAGGGCACAGTGGCCTCTGGGCACAACCCTGCTCCAGGGAGCTGCTGGTGAGTGGAATGTGGAGCCCCCTGGGGCAGGGGGTGAGGCCTGGGAGATGTGAAGGCTGTAAATGTCAGCACTGTGCTTCTTGTCTGTTGTGAAAGGGTGGAAATAGGCAAAGAGGAAGAAAAAGGGAAGGGGAAGGAAGCAATTAAATAAAAATTGTACAAGGGGGAGGGGTGAAGCCAAAGTAAAAATGCAAGTGCAATGCTGTCTTTTCATGGGGAGTGTATGTGGGATCCTGTCTCCTTGGATTTGGCATAAACAACCAAAAACATTGGGTGTAGAGACACTCCTCAGTATTCCTGCTGTCTCTGGTCCTTCTCTAGGTCTATATTCACACTCTTTGCTTGTTTTATGTCCTTTTTGCATGTTCTTTTCATACATGTGGGTAGGCACCTGAAATGCAGTCCATGACCTGTTCCCTGGTTTCCGGAGAAACCTGCTCAGAGCTTGCAGTGGTTGGGGATTTCTGCTGGTTTAGGAACCACCAAGCCTGGGGATGTTCCATTGTCCTTGCTGCTCCTCCGGTGAGGCCGTGATCATCCAGGGATCAAACACGTGTGTTGTGGCAGGCCGTGATCATCCTGAAGTCAAATAAACAACTGATCAACGCAGTAAAAATGTCACAGGAGTTTGCTATGCCTGCATTAAATTTTCCCCAGATTCTAGCATTTGTCCACAATCCTGTGTAACAAGACTTTATGTTACAGGAAGCCTGGATTTTGGATTACACAGTTTGGAAGGAAAAGGATCACATCTCGGATCACAGCTTTGATTCTGCGCTGGATATGTGACAAAACTTTCCAGTTCACCTCAAGGTTAGAGTACTCCCTACCAGCAAAATTATTTCTCCTTCCCTCATGGAAATATTCCCTCCTCCTTTGCAGTTACTCTGTCAGTTCAGTTTATCACAGAGTCACCCCAAAGATGTAGCTGCATCTTACTCCTGGCTGTTGAGGGGGAATTGGGGTGCTGACACTCTCATGAACAGCTGGGGGAATCCAGACTGGACCTTATTTTCTTTAAGTAAAACCATTTAAGTAGAAACACTTCAACCACTTGTGTCAGTCTTAACATTCAGGGAAGGTTACTTCTAGAATACATCATAAATTGTAAATAACCCTTAAAACTCTTCCTTTCACTGCTGAACTATAAGCCTCAAAAGGGCTGAAGAAAGCCCTTAGTATCAATCATGAATATTTGCCCTGGGTGTAATTCTGCAGCCTGATGACATTTCTTTAGGGCTGTGGCAGGTGCTGTGTATACAAAGGCAGGAAATGTTGAGCATTTCTCACTCAGAGCTGTGTTGGCCCTGGAGCTCTACCGGAACACCAAGGGATCACCAGACCTTTATTCCAAACTTTCCTGCCTCTCCCCTACACCTCTGGTCAAGGAACAGTTCTTATGCATGTTGTGGCTGTGTATAATTATAACCTCAAAAGACTTCCTTCAACTTTTTAACTAAGACATGCTAGTTAATATTCATTCAAGAGATGGTATTTTCTTTAACACAGAAAACATGGAAGAATTTCACTAAACACCAACAATGTGAATGTAGCACAGTTGGCCTTACAGCTGGTTCTACATTATTTAATGCTGCACCATTACAAAAGATTTCAGAATTACCTGTAATCTCTCTCCACTTCCTGGGAGATTGTAGCTGTTTGTTTAATCTCATTAATTCAATCACATCTTTGTGAGTAAAACCAAAGCAAGATAAGATAACAATGAGGGTTTTTTAACTGGATCTAGATCATTTGTTTATTATAGTGTATATAATTTTACTCAGTAAGAATGGAAACTACAGACTGTAATTAAATTGCAGACCTAAGTCAGATCTTCCCAATCCCAAGGCTGGGGACACGGGGGAGGGATGCTGGAAGGGCAGCAGGAGTTGTGTCTGATCAGGCTGTGCTGGACAATGTCCCTCCCTGCCTACAGGAGCAACTCCTGCAGAAAAGCCATTTTAAAAAGTTCAGTCTTGGGACATTACATTTCCTATCTGAATTAAATGTTTATTTGGGGGGAAAAAATAGTTAAAATTCTCTGCTTATGGAAAGACAGGAACAATAGAGTCTGAGGTTTCATTTTCTATCTGACTAAAATGCACCCCTAAATATCTGCACCCATTGCACTCAGTGGGCAATCAAAGACCTTATTTGACTATTATAGAAGTGCAGCTGGATTAAGGATTTAGAGAGAGAATTTTAAGGGCCCAGAAGAGCCCTGGCAGCTTCCCACCCCTCAGCCCTGGATGGGGAGCAGGGCTCTGTGCAGGCAGTGCTTGGGGTTCCCATACCTCACCTGCCGTTCAGTTGTGGCAACACATGAGGAATGGTGCCTTTCCTCTGAATTTGAATATTTTATGATCGTTTTTCTAGGTATCTTGACATTTTTTAGTGGCTATTTTCTGCTGCCAGAGATCATATAAGGCCATTGCACAGCAGATCTACAGACATGAAATCTCTGCTTTGCCTTTACCTTAATTAATCCCCAACTCATCAACCGTTCACTGCCAGAGAACGTATCAAAGAAATTGAGTTAATAAATCAAGTTAAAGATCACAGTGAAACTGTGACTGTTTGTTCTTTTGGTGTTAGATTTTGTTGAGTACAAGTAATTATATATGTACAGTCACATGTGAGCTCCTTCCCCTCACCTTCCTCCACCCTGAACACAAATTCCATTCATTCTTTTCTCTTAAGATAACTGAGGCTGTTTCCTTTGATGCTTTTCCCCTGTCCTAGAAATACAATTCTCTCCAGCACAGCAAATGGGAAAGGATGAAATATAAATGCAGATGAGTCCCTATTCTACCATCAGGTGACAATAAGCCGTGATAAATAAAATACTTGGCTCATGGAAATTGATACTGCTGATTCATCTTGTATTCATCTGGAGTTATTTCTCAGTTAAGGAACAAATTAAGGACTTCAAGGGAAGCAGTAGCTCAAGTATGGCCAAATTTATCTGCCTCCAACAGTACTGAGAGTCCTGCAAACTGCTCCACAGTCGCATAGTAAATAATTATCAGCTTTGAGTGACTTCACTAATTAACATCATAACTCTACCTTTGAACCTCTATCTTATTGCAGGTAGTTAAGTAGCAACCATTAGCTGTAAATCTGCAGCAACAGAAACCCATGGGGAGAGGGTATCTGGTGTCAGCTCCAAGGACTTCAACCTTTCACTTTGCATGACTATCTACGTGCTCCAACATTCCAGATAACCCAGGGCTCTTACTTCAGCTTGTTTTGATGTAAAACCAACGTGGTTTTTATCTTGAGAGAGCTTCTCCAAGCAAAAGGGAGGGAAGAGTTGTAAAGAAACGCTTTCCCACAAGGCTGCCTCTTAAGCCAGAGTCAATCCGTGAAGTTTGCACCTCAAACCTTTCACTTCAGTCCCTCCTAAATCCTGCTGATAACAATTCTTAAAAGCAGAGTGGTGGGGAAGCTCCTTCAGCACTGCACCCACTCCCTGCTCATCCGGCTACACCCGACACAAGCTTGGTTGGAGTCCAAGACCCTCCCACCTCTTCCTCTGGCTTTTCTTTTGAATATAGCAGCAATAAAACACACATCTGAGCATCCTACTTCCACAGTATGTTGTTGTCACATTCTTCACCTTTAAAGAATTCCAACATATGTTTCTCTACATGCTTTTTCTTTATTTACTCTACGAAGTTCCCAGAATAAATTTAAATTATTGATTCTGACAGTTTTCAGTTGGTTTGGGCATTTCACTTGGGTGATTCCCCAAGCTTTGTGAGAGCAAACTCAGCTCAGAGCAGCTGTCTCCTTTCAGTGCAAGAATGATTGGTTTCAGATGTAGAATACTGAGGGCCTTTAGTTTTATTGTTTGGGGGTTTTTTAATCTCACTCTTTAGAATGAAAAAAATGAAGGTGTCACAGGGTCTTGCTCCAGAAAGGTGTGTTTCCAGGCATGTTTCCACACACATCCTTCCAGTGCTTGGTATGTTCTTCACTGTATCCATCCTGGAAGGAAGTGGAGAGCTGAAAGTCCATTGCAAAGAACTGTGTTGGCATCAATGGGCTGAGTTAGAGCATAATTTACATGGATGGATTTAACAGCTTCCTTTCAGTCTTAATAAATGTAAGGTTTAATCAACTGCCAGACAACTGGAGCAACAGTGCCTACAAGTAACAGAACTGAAGCCCTGTCACACCCCTGTGAAGGAGACTTTGCTGGTGCTCTTGGTGTCAGTGACCAAAGTCTGTGAGAGTGAAACTAGAAAAAAAACAATGCACACACACACAAAAAAAAAAACCAGCCAAGAATGGCCAAATTTTGCTGGAAAAGCCAGAACAAGGAGAATTGGATGAAGGAAAACCCAAATTATCCTCCTAGCACTTTATAACTTGGATTTTGACCCTATTTATCATAGTGGCTACAATGTTGTGCCTTGAAACGACTGCTCTTGGGAGAGGAAGAGGTTTGGTTTGGGCATTTCTGGAGCAGTTTAGATTTATATCTCACTCTCTAACTGAATTATATATTCTAGATATCTGGCACCCCTCATGAAAACTATGCCCACTTCCTACTTACTATTAGGGTTCCTGCTCTCATAATGGAATGACATTTTCTAAGTGAAATGTTCAGTGAGTCAAAAGAATGTTCTGATAAAGCTTCAAATATCACCACCTTCTCTTCAAGCTGGTCTAATTTTGCCTTTTTTTTTATGAGGAGAATACCCTTACATTTCCCCTTTCTGTACCCTTGTACAGAATGATATTAACAAGTGACAAAATAATTAAGTGTGATTCAGATGTTCCTACCTGGACTAAGAAAATGGGAATCACACACAGCCTCTTCCCAGATAAATGTCTCTGTGAAGCCTCCTTGGTGGGAGCAGGAGGGTCTGTGATAACCCACTCTGGGACCATGGAACTAAAATAACAAACACACAGAGACCTGGAGCAGAAGGATTTAAAATAAGTGACCCAGAAACTGAGGCATCACCAACCATTTCCCTCCATCATATCCAGATACAGAGGTTTTCTCAGAGGCAATTTTTGATCTCGATTTGTGCATTTTGATTTGTTGCTAAAATATTTTAATTTTTTTAAAGCCTTTATTGGTTTCAAATGTATATTGAGTTTCAAATATTTATATCACTTCTGGTTAGTAAAAGCTGTGGTCAAGTGAGGCGCAGTTTGAACTTGCAGTTCAAAAACCTTAGGCAGCCTGTGCTGTTTAAAAATAAACAAGTGAAATTGTCTGAATTAGCTAATTATCTTAATTGACAATTTCTCAGTTAAGTGCAGTGAAATATAGGGGCTGAAATATGAAAAATAATTAATACTTTTCCAAGAAGGGCTACTTTTGGTTGTAATTTAAGGCTGTAGCTTTTGGGCTGCAATAAGCAATTTTTCTTCTCCCTCATGGGTTTTTCTCATTTCCTCCCCAAATCCCTGTTCCCCACTCCAACCCTTACAACTGGCCACAGTCAAACAGGAATGACTGTCTTCAGTAATTCTTGGGCTCTGCCCCAGGCCAGAATATGTTAACGTGAACGACTGGCAATAAGTCCTTCCTGAATATCTTCATCTCATTTTTAAAACCAGGAAACATTTTTTCATGTATAAGCATTTCCTTACTTGGTCAACTTCCACAGTTTTCTTTCTGGTTCTCCTGCTTTAAGAAGTCTGTGAGTTCCACCTCTCCTACATCCCTGGATGGCAGCTGCCATCTTTCCAATTCATCTAATCCAGCATGAGAAATTCCATGTTTGTCTTTTCCCGTGGTACAGATCTCTCTCCATCGTTTCCACACCGGCTCCTTTGTTGGCTGTGGAGCATCTCTTCCCTCCAGCCACTTCATTTTCCTTGTCCACTTGATTTCCCAGGCAGTGGCGTTGTCTCCTCTGGCTCCATGGCCCTCACGTGTGTCATGGGAAATGGAACATTTGCCTTCAGTCACACTCACATTTGGGATAAGTCCATTTTGAGCATGGACACACCATTTAAGCCACGTTCAGTGCTACATTCAGTGAAGATGGCAAACAAACACCCATCAGGGAAGACCAGGCTGTGTCCCACCTCCACAGAGGCGGCTGCTTTGTTTTCATCACAAGATTTCCCACCTGCCTCAGCGTTTTAACCATCCAGCCTGCAGAGCTGTGCACGAAAAATGTGGCAAAAGGATGAGAATCAAATGCATTTGGCTCACGGGAGTCATAGGAGACCTTTGGTTTTATACTGGAAATGTGCACGGTTAATTACCCATTAGGGAAGATTATTACAGACACCCACAAGGCCATAATGGCAATTCCTGCTCACTGTGGCTGTGGAAGAAATGTAATGGATGAGGGAATTAGTGTCAGGTTTATTCAGATTTCTCCTTCAAGACCCTGATGTGCGTTTTCAGGGGGTTTCTCCTTTCCTCTGACATTTTCAAGGCTGATTTATTTGTTACCCATCAGTGCTGTAATCAGTGCTCTCATTTCCAGCCTTCTGCTGCTGGGCGTATGAAAAACCAACCAGAGGTGAAACACTCGTTGCTTATCAGCACTTTATATTCCGCTGGAAAATCCTGAACTCAAGACACGTAGCTCCAGAGCGCGGGGTGTGCTCCGGCTCCATCCGTGGGAAGCACAGTGTGACCACTCGTGTCCCACCGCCCTCCCCGTCCGCCCGGAGCGGCTCCGCTCGCTCCCGGCCCTGCTCCCACGGCCCTTGGCGCGGGAGTTTGGCACGTTGCTATGACGACCCCGCCGCTGCAACAGGCAGCGCCCGGCGGGCACCAGCACAGGTCGGTGCCCGGGGTTTGGCCCTCGGGGCGGGGGCGGCAGGACAGCGTGGGCCGAACGCGAGGGTGCTTTGCGAACGGCGCACAGGGGCTGTCCCCGCGGTCCGCTCCCACCGCCGCCGCGGAGCCCGGCTCTCGCTGGGCAGGAGCAGCGACAGGCGCCCTGGGCATTCCGCTCGCAGGCACCGCCGCGGGGGCGAGCAGGGGCTGGGGTGGCTCCGCTGCGCCGGACGGGGCTGGCAAAGGGACCCCGGTGCAGGGCAGCGCCGTGGGGCCGGGTCACTGCGAGGGCTGAGCTCGGTCGCGACATGCTCGGGGCCGGGTGACAGGCAGGGTGCACGAGGGGACACGGTGCGGTGGCAGGCAGGGTGCTGCCAGGGACAGTCAGCAACCCCTTCTCTGCAGCAAGATGTGTTTCCCTCTTGCTATTCGTTAAGATGTAAGGCAGGGGAAAAAAAAAAAAGAAAGGTGTATTTGTAGCTCAATCGCACTGCTCTGAAGTTCTGCAAAGAGCCAAGGGAAAAAATGGGCTTCCTGCGTTTTACCAGAGACCAGACAAAACTCGCAGAGCAGCGTCTGGAGGAGGACGCGGGGGTCTGTAAGAGCCTCGGCCCCAAGTGCAGCGGCGGAGGCAGAACCTCTGGCCCTCGGCACCGAGAGCTGCAGCCGGAGCGGCTCTGCAGCGCCTGCCTCTCGCTGCCTCCCCGCGCCCTTGTAGTAGGTGGCTAAAACATCCAGGGCGGCGAATACCGACTGCGTTATCACTTACGCAAACTTGGCATCGCTGACGTAAATTTGGAAGGGGATTCAGCAAATAGAGGCGGGTCCCGACAGACTGCATTACCCCGGGTGCTCTGCGCGGGCTGTGCCTCGGAGAGCCTGGCGAGCAGATGGAGGGGTGCTGAGATTGCCCCCGCAGCTGGGAATCCTCCCTGGAGTCTGTAAATCCTAAGCTTTGAGTTGAAGAAGTGGTCGGATGCGGTGGTGGGAGAGTGATGCTCCCATCTGGCAGGGGTAGTGAAAAGATTTCTCGTCAGAGCCGGTGTCGGGGTGGGTGCAAGTAGCTGTAGCTTGGCTCTTCTCCTCCAGCCAGAGGACAGATGCAAGCAGGCAACGTGTGGCTCCGTGTCCTGCAAACTCTCAGCCCTTGGCAAATACTGCCAAGAACCGCCCTCTCCAGGGGCTGCAGCACCCAAAGGCGAGGGAGGAACTCAGCAGCTGGGGTGTCTTCTGTGTTTATATTGCTGAAATACCATCCTCTGCAGCGGGCTGTGACTCCATCGCACCGAGTGACAGATCCTGTCCTCGGTGTCCTCAAACCAAGACGCTCTTCAGCCCCTCTCCTCCCACGGCAGCCTGGTTGGAATCTTTACCCCTCCCAGGTCTGAGCTCACCGTGCAGTGCCCCGGCAGGTTCCCCAGCCCTGCCTGCACTCCCCACAGCCCCCCGGTAAGGAGCCATATGGGATGGGCACTGCACAACTCAGCTGCATTTTGGGTAGGAAGGCTCATCCTGGACACATAAAGTACTTTCTTCAGCAATGACATCCCCCCAAATAGCTGTCGAATGACCATTTCCCACAGCTGTGTGGAGAACTGAGGATGAACACTAATGTATTTTCTCAGTTATAATTTCTATTTTTTATTCCCTAGCAAAGACTTGAAGTACCTTCCTTTCCCTCTCCTCCCGGGTTCCACACTTTTCCCCATGCCGGGCTCCCCGGCACCCCAAGCACAGCAGGAACCAGAGCTCCGCTCTGCCGAGAAGGGAGAGATGCAGCGAAATCACTCCATATGGCTCAGTCCAGTGGATCAGGACAGAAGGGGGAGCCCAGGAGACAAACTCGGAGAGCATCCCAACCCGCCGGGCTCCAGCCGAGCTCTGGATGTTGACGGCATTCATAGAAACTTGCTTTTGTTTCTACAGCCACCTTTTGGCGTTTGTTTACGGTTTATAGGAGACCACTCTCACCTCCGAGTCTGTGCCGGAATTCCCACTGTGCTGAACAGTGCCCTGAAATCACCACCGTGCTGCACTCCACCATTCTCCTCTCTGTATTGATGGGCCAACACATCTTCTCCCTCCTCTTCCCCCATGCTGACCCTTTCCCTCTGGACCTCTGACACCTGAATCACCTCCCTCTGTACCCATCATCCCCTGCCATGCTGTTCATGCTTTAACCCCATGTCACCTCAAAGTCCTCTCCTTGGCAGCTGGATCAGCTGGCGAGTGCCTGGCCTGCCCTGGGCGAGTCTGCAGCCTCCTGGGAGACAGAAACATTGTGGTTTCAACTCCTTTTAACAGACACCTGCAGGACAGTTATTTCTAGCAGTAAAGGAGCCTGAGCTGCATTACTGCTGCGGGTATGAAGTGTCCCAGCTCCAGGTGGGCCTCAGGAACACCGGACAACTCCCTGACCCATTCCATTGGTTGTACGGAGAAGGAGATGCCCTTCTCTGCACTCCCCAGGACCTCTGGCAGGTGCAGAGACCACTGCCCACCACAAACCTAACCTACTGAGATTTATTTAACATTTCCTAACAGGCCAGGCAGTGCTACAAAGCCCATTTTCACATAGTGCTGGTTTGTACTTCAGTATTTTTAGCTCCCTCCTGTTTGTTATATCTCTGTTTTACCCCTCCACAGCCAGGCATCAGTTACTGACTCAGTTGCATCCTAAGGCACAGCTCACAAATACTGTTCTGCCCGTACCTGCCTTAGTAATTTCTCTCTAATTTATTTCTGATTATCATTTGTTTTTTTCTCCAGACACCACCAATATGCCCATTGTAAAGTACCCCAGGGCTAGAGAGCCCCTCTATTACGAATGGGACAGGAAAGCCCAGAAATGTGGGTTAAGACACACAGTTTATGCTGTAAATGGGGATCAGTATACTGGAGAATGGCTGGACAACTTGAAACATGGTAAGATACATAATTTTGAGGAAAGGTACCAATTAAAATGTCCTTAGAAAGGTTCCTAAGGGCAGGGAGCAGTCAGTGGTTCTATATGCTCCTGGAAGAGCATTCATTCTTGTATGACTATATATATATGTGTCTTTGATATATGTAATGTAAAAATGCACTCGGAGACATTTCTAATAGGTAGCTTGGAGAGCTTTTGCATGCACTCAGGGGCAATTACCCAAAATATCTCTGTTATGGATATTTAAAAATCCTCTCCAAACAGAGCAAACTGCAGTGAGCTCCATGCACTGGGATGTTCCCTGGCTGCACAGTCCCTGCAGCTCTCTCAGCTCTTGACTTGGCTTCAGGAATCTTAATTTATCCTCAAGCTGTGGCGGGTGCTGCAGGAGACAGAGCAGGGGAAGGAGACCCTGACCGAGCCCTGAGCAGCCGGAGCAGGACAGACTTGTTTACAAGCAGAAAAATGAGGTTTGGAAAGATTTAAGTGCATTCAGCAAAGGCCACACAGGAAGCCCTTGATCAAGATTAACGATGGTTCTGACTTGGGAAGCTAAACTGAATCCCAGACCTGAGCCTGACCTGGTGCAGGGAGAGCTGCCCCACCTCAGATGGAACAGGAAGGCAGCCCTGGACACCCTTCTCCTAAATTCTGCAGCATTCCTATTTTTGTTAAACAGGTAAAGGCACCCAGATATGGAAAAGAACTGGAGCTATTTACAGCGGTGACTGGAAGTTTGGGAAGCAGGATGGTTATGGCTCATACAGCGTTCCTGACCCTGTAACCAAGGAATACAAGAGGGTGTACACAGGCTGGTGGAAAAATGGCCAGAAAACTGTAAGTGAGATTTCCTGCACTTGCCAGCAGTGAAGCAGCGTGACCCAAAACACAGGGAAGGGTTGGGTGCACATGTGCAAAAAGATCACTTAAAATACTAATTTTCCCAATACTGGGACTGAATTGAATGGTTGAGAGTAAAAATCCACAATTTTTATGGGAGTGCCATTTCCCTGCTGCAGAGGGACTTATCCCACTCACACACTGGTTACCAGGCTACAGCCCCAACCAGCTGCTGCAGAGCAGTGGTTACTGCTCAGACTCACCCGCAGCTTGGCCAAGCAGGATGAGAGGCTTTGTATCCCATCTCTTAATCCCCCCCCCATCCCTTTCATTCCTCTTATCCTTGAAGGAATTGGAGGAACCTGTATTATAAATGCTGCAGGAAAATGTACCTTCTTCTGGGACTTTTACAGCATATTACACAAATAACAGGAGTTCTTTTGGAAATTAAGCCTGCCGTGTAAATCATGTTTTTTTCTAAAAGGAACACAACGAGAAAGTCATGTGGTAGAAATGACTGCAATCTCATGTGCAAAATCCTTGTGGGAACGCTTTTGGATCTGCCAATGGAAACCTCGTGTTCGCCTTTGTGTCTGCTCTTAAATTAAACTAATCGCCACCAACGCCTGTAATTGGTGTGTGGCTCCAGCCTCTCGGAGGGAGCTTCCCCTCCTGTTCTTTCTGGTTATATTTTGGATAATTGAGCTTGGGTGAAAGATTTGTAATGATATCCAAGTATCACAAGGGTTGGTTTTTCTTCTACCAAAGTTTCTCCTTTACATACACTCAGTTTAGTAAAATTAATATTCAAAATCAGTTATTTCCAGAACTGATTTTATTATTTGTTCAGAGATAAATTAACACTTTATTCCTATGAGAAAACTCATTAGTGATATGGAAATATTTCTTACTGGTATTACTCCCTGGTATAGGGGTACCTCTGGACTTCTCTTAATGGCAAACACACATGTAAGACAAACAAGGGATGGAGTTGCCCAGGCTGGAACAGGTTGGGCTGCAGGAAATGTTGTCAGTGTTGAAAGGGATGAAATCCCCATGTTGAGAGACACATCCTTTAATGCTGCCTATCCCCAGGCAGGTTTATATACTCGTAAAACCCGCTTTTAGCTAAATATTAGCAGCCATCATGCCAATAAAAACACACTGAGATATAAACCCAAGAGTTTTTCATGGGAATAAAACCATTTGCCAAAAAAAATCCCATACTACCACCTCTGGTTTCCTTCAGCACGCGAACAGCCACTGAGCTGGGCTGCCACATGTCTAAGAGTAATAAACAAAGGAACAGTGTATCAAAGAGATGTCCCAAACTTGGACACTGACCCCTTTCAACAGCACAGCTCCTCACCAGCCATCTCTGTGCTGCTGCCCAGGGCCAGGGGGTGTTCTTTTACCCCAACGGGGAGCGCTACGAGGGCGAGTGGAGCGATGGAGTGCGGGGCGGCTGGGGCCGGATGTACTACCTGGATGGATCCAGCTACGAGGGACAGTGGGAGGCGGATCAGCCCAACGGGCAGGGGATGCTGCAGCTCCGTAAGTACTGGGTGCCTGCCTGCCCCCTTCAAGCTATTTGCTGCTCTCCAGGTGTCTCTGCCATCCAGGTTTCTGGATGCTCCATGCATTGCAGCAGGGCTGTGGCTGCTCCAGGTCATCCCTCCCCTCCTGGTCTGGGGCTGGAGGCAGCACAGGGCCGGCTCAGGCCCACACACATGAAGGCTTATTTTTGCTGTGATTTACATTTAAATGACTGGGATGGTTCGGGTTAGAGATAATATACTGTTAGGTCAGAGAAGAGCAAATCTCTCTTTTCAAGCCAGGCACTTTGCCAGACAGACTTTTTAGCTCTGCATACCAAAGAGGAGTCCAGTTTCCAGCACAGGGAAAAAAAGCAACAGAGAATTTTCTTGCTGAGTTCACTCCATCCCCTCTCTTACTTCCGACATCAGCTCACATTGAGTGAACACAGGGGTTTCATTAGTACACAATCCTTTTCCATAAATAACACCAAGCACATCACGGATTTGGAATGTTAGGGGCAATCTCATCATAAATACAGAAATCTGAAATTTTTTCCCCATATTTTCCTTGGAGTTTAACACATTTTTCCCTGAAGCCAAGAATCCCAGTCCTTTGCAATACAAGGCATGACATTCCAAGAACATTTGAAGAAATATTATCTCCATATTAGTGTTCATCTATTCTATTTTTTTGCTTGAAAGTAATCTCAAGACTAGTAATTAGCTAAGCAAAGCAGCTAGGAGGAATGGGCATGACCTTCACTGCACATCACAGGCACTTTGGACCAATGGCCCATCCGGATGAAATCAGCACCTGCTTCCAGGGAGAAACCTTCCACTGATCTGCTGCTCTCCCACCCAAGTCCCTGTTAGTCATAAACTAACAGCCCCTACGGGCTGAGCTGCGGCTGATGCACCATTTCAGAGCCCCGTTGCCTCCAGCATTGCCTGCAACCGACTGCGAGCTGGATTCCTTTTGGTTAAAATTAGCCAGAGCAATTATTTCATACCCACAAGCCTAATGCATTCAGCTCAGTGCTGGAGGGGTGCCCACGTGCCGGCAGCTCCGCGATGTGAAAGAAAAGGAGTTCTCCAGTGGAGGTCACGATGAGCTGCAGCTCAAGATTAAATTGCCTGTAGTGGCAGCGCGCCCGGCGAGGGTGAGCTCGGCTGGGAACGCCGCGCTGCTCTGCCACCTCTGCCATGGCTATTCCCAAATGGAGCATGTCCACTGGGATCACAGCAGTGAGCACACAGCCTCCGGTGCTCTGAGAGGGGATGGGAGCAGCTGGACACCACGGTGCAGCCAGGGCATTCCGTACCCCCTCCATCAGAGCCAGGGCTGTGATTTTGGTGGTTTCTCAGTTGTTGGTGGCTGGAGTGCAGGAGCTGAGCTGCTCCTACCACTGGGCAGGGCGGGTTGGTGTTGCAGATAAGCACAAAACCAGATCAAAGCTGCAGATAACCACCACCACAGCTCCAACCTGTAAATCAGAGCCTGCCTTAGCAGCCAGGCAGCCATGCTCCACAGAAGCATTTTCGGTTTTTCCTCCTTACAGCATTCTGGCAGGCCCCAGCTACCTCTGCAGCACCATGCAGGGTGCCCTGGTATTTCAGCCGCTTCTTGTCCTGAAGAATGGCAAAGTTCAGCTGAGACTCAAAGGTACTTCCACTAATTATCAGGAATTCCCATGGTTTTGGGCTTAGAAACACTATATGTAGGCAAAGGGGAGAGCAGAGGACTCTCCCAGTGACAGCAGGATGGCCTTGAGATATCCCAGCATCACTGTGGTTATGATGCCGCTTCTCAACCAGCATCCATGGATGAGGCTGCTCTCCTCTCCTTGCAGCTCTGCTTTCCCTGTTAGTGATGGAGGATGGATTCCTGGAGAGTAGCACAAAGCCCAAAAATAACCTCTCTCAACTTGCAGAAAAACACCAGGAGAAGCAGTACAGCTGGAAAAAGAGTCTGTAACTGCCTGAACTGCTCAGACACTCACAGCAATTCTCAGCCTTAATTCATTGAGGAAAAACTAACTGCAAATATTCTTTGCAATCAAGATTATTTTGCCTGGACAACAGTCAGTGCTCTGTTCCTTGCCCAGACAAGCAAACCTCTCTCTTCAAGCCAGAGATCCTGTGTGATTTGTTGCAGTGACAAATCTGAAACTTGTGTCCTGTAATTTTTCACGTTGTGAGGAGTGACTCAGTGACCAGTCCCTTACCCTGAGCTCACTTGCTCGGTGTATCAGCAAAAAATGAGTATCACTGTAAGAACAAAGCAGGTGAACACAGTTCTTGTTCCAGCTGGGCAAGCGTGGGCTCCTTCCACAGCCCTTTCTCCCTCTGCAGTGCAGCAAACAGAGCACTGCAAAAGCAAAATGACACACTGTGCTGCAGCCCCCTGGAAATTACTAAGAGAAGCCAAATATATCACCTCCTTCTCTGTCATTTTGCTCTGTTGATTGTTTTCATTTGTAACTCCTTAACAAAATGGTCTGTTCATATATTTAACTGCAGCAAATGGAAATCGGTACGAAGGAGGTTGGAAAGATGGAAAGAAGAATGGCCCAGGGAGATACTTCTACGTGGATAAGGGACAGTTGTTAGAGGGCACCTGGGCAGAAGATATAGCAAAGTGTGGAGTTCTGGTTGACTTCGATAGAGACAAAGCTCCGGCCCCTACTCAGTACCCAATCCCAAAGGTAATTGCTTGGAAATTTCAGTGTTTGCATCCATCAGCACTTGGATCAGCTCTCCAGGTAGCATTTCCCTCCTCCAGTGATTACCCCTGTGGGATTCCACACTTATAGGGTGTGTGCTCAGTGTCTTTTGGCCAGCAGTGTCCTCAAAGGCCCCATAGGGTCAAACAGTTCATCCAGCCTCCGCTGGAGCCTCCTAATCACCTACATCTGAAAAATGCAGTTCTCATGCACCAGAACTGCTCAGAGACCTGAGGCAGCACAAAGGAAACGGGGACAATAGAGGCAGAGACAATTGTGGGATTTGCGTCAAAACCAAACGATTTCCCCAAGCCCAACTGCTGAAGCTGAGCAGACCCTACAGAACCCCGGGCAGCTGCAGGGCTCACAGCAGCTCCTTCCTCTGCCTGGGTACTCCAAGTCAGGAGCTCATCGCGTCCAGCAGCCCCAGAGGCAGCAGGGTGTGTGCAGCTTCCCACCTGGTCCCAAGGTGGGCAGATGGTGTCCCAGAGCCAACATCTTCTGCTCCCCTTTCCCATGACTGACACACTGCTGAGGAAGAGTCAGTGCCTGTCCCCATCCCGAAGACTTGGAGAGACACTCAAACACACTGGGCTCTCAACTTGGAAGCCACCAAGTCCTCGCACATCACTTTGGTAAAAGAGCCAGAGGACAGGAGAGCCTATGCCCTGCTCTGCCCTCGAAGGAAGACAGGGAATGGGAGCCCATAGTTGAACATATGTGGCTCCAAATGACACAGCTGGCCAAGAGTCTCAGCTTGAACACAAAGGCATCACATTCCCAGAGGATGGTTACTGCAGGAAGGGGTGGGGAAGCTCCTCTTTGCTTGGAGCCAAGCAGAACCACCCTGGATAACCACAGCACACCGCTTTGCTCAAGGAACACTGGGAATAGCACAGCCCCATAAGCAGGTAAAGCCACCTACCTTCCTCTGCCCCAGGGACAAGGCTGTTGCAAATGATACCTGGCACGTGCAGCCTTCCAAAGCTCACAGCTGCTACACCTTCACTGCCTCTATTTTTTTCAAATCTGGTTTCTGTAGCAAAGGGCCCTTTGAGCAGAGACAGTTTTGACAAGCCAGTTAATCCTGTAAGCACCAGGCACACCCACAGCAGTGCAGAGTAATAAACCCCAAATATCCACCAGGGAAAAACAATCTCTATTTTTCCAAAAGAGTGAAAGGAGCAGCACTTCTGTAGCTAAAAATATTTACCTTATGTGGTTTGTCAAAGGTCACCCAGAACAGCCTCAACAACCCAACAGTCTGGGATGAAATGCTGGTGGGCAAAGCAGGATGTGCAAGTCTGACTGTTTATTTAACTCCCTGAAGACCAAGTGATGACCCAATTCTCTGCTGCTCTAGGTGCAAAAAGAAAGCATCAACTTTCACTGCTGTTACTGTGCTTTTAATCAGTAGAGAGCTGTTGATCTCAGAGTATGAAGGAAGTTAACAGATGCTCATAAACTTTTTCACGCACACACTCTTTAAAAATTATGAGATCCAACAGGCTACAAATCAAAGCCATTCTTGTTTTGTCCAAGAATGTGTTTAGTTAAAGGAGACTCAGCCACTTCACAGAGCTATTTCAAGGAGATGAAGTGATGTTCAACATATTAATAAAATTAGGGAAGTGTAGCAGTGTTTCTAAAACAATAATTGAAAGGCTGCAATATGAACTAAGTCCTGATACATGGGGGACTCTCTGTGAATGCTTGAGTAATCAAGATCTATAAAACCTTAAGCTTCTTCAATTACACTGCATAACTGATTTGTATTCTTTTTATTTAGATTGAACTAGAAGATCCAGCTGGTGTTTTAGCAGAGGCCCAGGCACTGCTTGATGACAGCAATAATTAATAACTGGAAGCTGAAGAAAAAGAAAAGATGTAAGATAAGAACAGTCCCGAGTTATGTATTCATTTGAGTGTCAAATCCACACTGTGGTGTATCATGGTCTGCTTCACTCTTCCCTCAAGGCTGTTCAGGTACACTTCACTCTGCAGCTGGCTTTGCTCAGTAGCCTCTTCCACTCCCATTATTTTGGAAAAGAAAGGAAAAAAATTAAAGAGGAAAAAAAAAAAAAGAAAAACCACGAGCAGCAAAACACTGGAAGACAGGCAGGGGGACTCTGCTCAGCTCCTCTGACTTACTCCTGCTGTAAAGAGATCACACTCCTCTTGGTTTCAAGGTCTTTGCCTTAGAGAATGAGGGCTTTTAGTATCTGCTATAAAAGCAAGGCCCTAGAAAAGTACAATCAAATAACTCCCCCAAACTTAACCCAATACATACCTGTGACCCAAAATGGCTTTTGAAGTTACAACAGATCATGTTTCAATTAATAAGGACACTTTAGGCCTCTAGATAACAAACAATCAGCAACAATTAAGTAGATTTTATTTCATGAAAGTATTTTATATCTAAACAAGTGATATACAATAACCAATGTTTAAAATGCTTGAGGTAAATGCCTCCTAACACCGTTAGTATAAATAAGGGATTAAAAAAAAAATTAAGTGCACTCTTAATGTTTAGAGCCACGTGTTTGTGTCTGGTTACTGCCTGGGCACACAGTGACAAAGGTACCCGAGGTGTAACTTTCATGACCATTTCCACAGGTGAAAACTGAGAGAAACATACTCGATATCATGGCTTAAAGTGCAGCAAACAGTCAGAAAAGCAGCTGCAATAACAGTGCCACTAGCTCAGGGCCTACCAGTTTGAGAAAGTTAAAATTAAGGTTGTCCCACTAGCTTTGAAGTCTGTATCTCTTAAACAAAAAAAACCACCAAAAATCCATACTTCTCTGTCACTTTGTAAAAGATTAACAACGGGAAATTTAGCTACTTATCCAGGACAGCAAGTAATTTTTACAAAGTAAACTTGGAAAACTGATGTTCTGGGCTTCATTCAGAACTGCGTAACTTTTAAATACACAGTTTATGGACAGAAGTACAATTTTTAAGCCTGACAGCACCCTTTGCTCAAATGTGAATACTGAGTCAGGTTTTCTTCTTTTACTGAGAGGTTTTAAGAGTTTTTCCCCAAGACAGGACTAGTATTCCAGTAAAGGATGGGAAAATACACTTTGTGCCTATTACCAAGACTTTCTGTTTTGGAATGCTGCTTCCTTAATGCCTTTACTAACATAATCCTTCCCGTGCTCCATGAATGAGCACCTGTGGGACTGTAGTTACAATCCTCACCATCAGATTTACATCAGGAATAGAGCAGATTGGAAGCACAACGCAATGGCAGAGCTGAGAAAATCCAGTTTGGCCTCTGTATGCCAGAAGGACTTGTGAGAACAGCAAGTGCAAAGCTGTTTGCTGCTTGGGAACAGAGACTGCTGCTGAAAAGAACAGCCCAGCAGGTTTTTTTTTATAGTTGTTTGTGACAATACAAAGGCACCACGGGTGACCTTGTCAACACGTTGCACTGCGGTGCTGCTGACAGGAGAGATCAGCCCCATCTGCTTCAGAGGCTCCTGCAGCAGCAACCACACTCTGCACCCAAACTCCACAGGCACATCCTGCAGTTTGTAAATACCTTGGGATAACCCCAGATGGAGGTTGGTGAGACCACGTTCAGCCCAGGCTGTCAGGTACAAATCCACTGTCCTGTCACAGTCACTCCTGTCTCAGGTCAAAATCCCAGGTTTCCATTCCACAGTGACAGCTATGACAGGGAGGTCAAGTTTTTTCCCTTAGACTTGAAACCTGTCTCAGTTTGTGTTCAAAAAAGAGCTTTTAACTATTAAATCTCAGAGCCACTCCCTGGAAGAACTGTATTCTAAAAAATCCCACTCCTAGACATAGCCACAATTACTGAAGCAGCCCAGGACAACTGCTGCAAACCTTCTTGAACAAACTTCTTATCTAGGAGACCAAATGGAAGTTTTTGCCTTAAGAGGAAATAAAGAATGACACAGTAGCTTTGCTGTCACAAATGTGTCTGAAAGTAAGCAGCCAATATTAATTACAAACAACCTACTTTCATAAATAAATATACATCCAGAATAGTTGCCTTCCAGATTCCTCTGGAATCGAAAAATGTATAATGAGTTATTAAATATACAACACTTCAGCAAGAAGACTTTTCTAAACAAGGAAGACCAAGGCATAGCTAATTACTGGGGAATCCAACACAGAGAAAGCACCTTTTGCTGCTTGTATCTGAGGATTTATTAAAAATATATTTTCAATATAAAAGTATAAAATAATTACTACTTTGGCTTGGAAAAAAACAGCAGTGGTTCTGATTTTCAAGCAAAAAAAAAATTATCCAGTGATAATTTCCATCTAGTTCCTCCTTTTTAAAAAAAGATTCCTAAATGAGAAACAGGCAGATCTATCTCTCCAGATAATATTTGCCAGCTCGTGAGAACTTTAAAAACAGTTATTGCTTTTATTTTCTTCCACGGAAGAGTCGAGTCTCATTCCTACTCATGTGGCCACACCACATCACAGTAAGACTAGTCCGGGGTGTTTAGCAAGTTACAAAATGTGTAAGTGCCACGGAAAAAGGGGCTGGAGAAATCAGTAAAGTAATAATTACTTGGCAGCAAAACATACTGGGGAAAGTGGTGGGAAAGCTCTCGCTCCTACCATCTGTCAGGCTTTCCAGGGAGAGCAGCACCAGCACCGAAACCAAGTGCTAATTGCTGCATGTCCCAAGTAATTTGTATCATGCCATGCAATATGGATTGGACAAGCAGTATCTTCTAGTAAATGCCAACATCAAATAAACAGAGAAAAAAAAACACCTCAACAACTTCTTTACCCATTCCTAGTAAATACCCAAATGTACAATGTTATTTTCCATGTATTTATACAGCCACCATTCAGCATTAATGAGAAAATTAGCGAGACAGTGTCCACAGGAGGAGGGCTGCACGCACAGTGCAATCACACCCCACCATCCCTTCCTTCAGATAGCAAAAACTGCACGAAAGGAACATTTTTTTTCCTTCTCTAAAGGGTTAGAACAATATTTATAATCTCTCTTCAAACAGTGATCAGCAGTTCAACCCGTTCATCCACAGGGCAGTCAATGTAAGGCAGAAGCAGAACAGTGGGGTTATCTTCCTGAAGCACAGGCTTACGCAAAATTGGTAACGGCTGAGGAGACAGCATCACCTCTGTGATCCAGCTGATCCTGGAGCCGTGCAAATTCAGCAAGTTCATTCAGCTCCTGGAATTGCCTGTCTGTTTTATGGCTCACCAGTGACCGGTAGAAGTGGACTGCAAAGACAATGAAAATCAATCCAAAGGGCACCATAATAGACGTGGATGCAATGGCTGCTGCCTGTCCCGACGTGATGGTAGAACTGTTGCCCTGCGGGGTATTATCAGTTTTCTTCTTTAAAGGAAGAAACTTCACCCAGCACAGCAACACCACCTCTGCAAGGAAGAGCAAAGTCCCAATGACAGTAGAAAATGCCCACGCGAGCTCGATGTGCCGGTGCATTCGCTCGTGAGGAGATTCCTTGACAGAGTTGAGATTGTGCACGTTGCTGACAGCCTCTATGTTTGGAAGAATGCAGGTGCTTATCATGAGTGCAAAAAGGTGAACTGCAACAAGGACAGTAGTGCAGGCACTGAAGGCTATCAAGAGCCCTTGAGGGTAGTCGTGTTCTGCGTCGAGCTGAACTTCCACCATGGCCACCTGAAAAGGAAGGGAGAGAGAGAGGCAGTTATCTACATCACATATTATTTGACTATAGATTATTTTAAGTTTAAACCAAAGTAAGTCTGTGTTTACGTTTCTCTCCATGTCATCTGCACCCTTTTCATCAGGTTCAAATTTAGGTCTGAGCAAAAGGCCACCGTTTTTGTACTTACTGTTGTGTTGTAGAGCAAACCTTCAATATGCAGAAAAGCTGTTACAACATAACCAGCTTGCCACCTCCAGCTCATCCCAGCAAAACAGATGAACTTTGTGAATAACACACCTGGACTCCTTAAGTGAAACATTTCTTCTTTCATGTTATACTCTTGAGGCAGCTTTTGATCTTTCACTATAGATTATAAATTTTGCTTGGTATTAGGAAATATTTTGTGTCCCATACACATGTAGAATGAACACCACATAAAGTCGTTTAAATATCCATAACATAAAAGCCTTCACAAAGGCAGCAGACTGCCTGTGAGAGGCTGAAGAAAGACAATGTCTCCAAGAAAAGATAGTACAGTGGTCCCAGGCATCACAAGCTCCTCACCCTGGAAGCCATGTCACTGCTCATCCAGAGATGAGGCTACTCATGAAGATCCTCCACTATTGTATGAGCCATCCCCTTCTAGAACCTTAGATCTCCAAGTATCCTGTGCTTCAGGAGCAGAAATCAGCAATAAATAACATCACTAGGAAACTCATAAACCCAGCTCAGAATAAGGAAAATGAACTAGAATGCCTTTTTAAAGGTTTTAAAACTGTCAGGTGGTTTTATGCATGTGCAATTGATGAGTGATATTAATCCCAGCAGCTCTCCTGAATAATCTTTCCTGATAAATTTGACTTTCAGACAAAGCACTGTTCCAAAGAGGGAACAATGCACCAAGGTCTCTATGTTCAGTGTACTTTCTCAAAGGAATTCATTAAGCAGACAAAATACATTTAAAGTGCAGAGGAAAAAAACCTAACAGTAATCTGAAATATAAGCACATCAAGCTGATAGGAAGAAAAATTCCTGAAGTGTGGGTTCATGGATGCAGGGAGGCATGGAAACCAGGACCTGAAAACAGCTGCAAAAGCAGCAAGAACATTCAAACCTCACTACTGTGAAAGAGCTGGGCCAAGCTACACCTAGTCCTGCATCCCACCTTCCTACACATGTCCCAGGACACCAGAACACCTGATCACTAATGCACCAAATCTATTAAGGCAACCAAGGGTTCTGCTCAGACATGTTTCAACAGGCATTCAAGGCCATTTGCCAATTTTTTAATTCCTTTATTGAAAGCTTTTATTCTCATAAGCCTCCCCACTCAGTCAACCAGTGAACAGTTTCCAAGTGTTACAAGAAACTCAACAAGAAATCATATTAATGCATATACGATTCTTGCTCAAAGATTTAAAAATACCATTTTTTAGTCGTGGGAAACTTCACATTTGAGAGGATAAACATTTGGTTGTCAGGATTGCTTGTTAAGTCCCAACATACTCGTGGGATGTTGGGCTTCGTTTTTCACAGAACAATTGCAATCCTTCACCACCAAGGATTCATTTTCATACTCATCAAATATTTTTCTTGTAAGTCTTCTGGTGTGTCTAGACTCTAAACCATTCAGCATGGCAAGGCACTTTAATTCTTTATCCTAGTAGTATGTTAACATAACTATGACACTAAAGAGATTTATTAGATAAAGACTTAATTTTCTTTTAAGAATTGATGTATTTAATTCGCCAAACATTGAAGACATTTTATATTTCCATTAATCAATGCCTCCACGTAGTAATGATATCAAGCATCTGATTTTGAACTCCTTGTGTTCATGTCTGGCAGAGTAACCCCAACTTGACCTGTAAGTGAAAAATCAGTTCGTGTTTTCTGTCTCCTCAAACTCTCAAGAAAGCTAATCTGGGAACTCTTTCAGTGTAAACAAGCAGAAAAACTGCCAACTCTTTTCAATTGCAAGTTTACTTCCTGGGCCAAGCTTGAGCCAGGCACCTAAAACAAAAAGCTCCATTTTTCATCCTGAGGCCCCGTGCCTGTTTTCTAACAGCGATGCAAAGTGGCAGAAGTTCTTCCCGCCTTTCCTCATGCTGCAATTCCAAAATAAACAGCTCCCAACAGCTCCTGTAAGGTAACACCTGCAAGAACAAGGCCCAGGTGAGGTCACCTGACATGATGCCAATCCACAAAAAGCCTGAACTCACAAGTACATGCTGATGTTCCAGGCAGGATATTTTCCTGTCCTGAAGACCTGCTCAGGGCAGGGCTGCACAGTTTCCAACACAACATGTTCTGCACCTTTTCCTTCACCACTTTTAAAGCTCCTCTGAACACTTGCTGCATGATTTCCACTGCGCAGCTGCCCCGCTGCAAACGCCCTGCCCTGCTGCGTGATCACAGTGTAACACGGGTTGGAAGACTCCTCAAGAGGTCATCTGGTCTAATCCCTGCTTCAAAGAAGAGCTAACTTTAACTTCAGATCATCCTACAGATATGACTGGCAGATTTACTACAGCTCTTGACAAAATTAAAAGACTCTCATGACATTAAGACTCAAGACTGAAGCTCTCATAAGCCTAAAAATGGTGGGCATTCAGATGCTTTCAGAAGATAACTGAATTTTGGCACACAACCATGTTAAACCTTCCACAGTCCTGGGTTTCAGAGTCATAGCAGCCTGATTACTACCATATCGTAAAAAATTTAAGAACTTGCCCTCTGGAAGAATCTGCATTTTAATTTTTTTTCAGTTTAATATCCTGACCAAGTTCTATTTGCTTATTTAAAACGTTTCCATGTCTTATTAGACCAGAGAGGCTTAAATAAAGCTCCTGCTTTTAAATTAAAATCATATGCTTACATATCTTTTGAAATCAGTAGCCAGTGCTGTAGAGGAAAGTCAAGAATGAAAAGGGTGTCACAGCATCAGTGGAAATCAGCACTCCTGGCTGGCTCCCTGTTTTCCTGACAGGACTATTCACCCCAGAGAGAGAGGCTCAGAGCCAGGCTCTCACAGACTGTCTGCACCATTCATGAAGAGTTATAAACAACTCAGAGAGAGAATTGTGTATGAGCCAGAATAACTCACCGGAAATTAAAAACAGATAAGTCAAAATAATGATCTTATTTCTGGTTTTATACAGAAGGGAAACTAAGCATCATTTATCCTTTAGTCCAGGATCTCGAGTCTGTAATTATTGTATGTTGCAGAACAACAAAACACATTAATATTTGCTGACACCAACAATAGAATACAAAC